GAAGGAATGTCCGTTAAGTAAACAACCTTCTTATGCCAATGCTCTTTTTTCGTCTGGTGCTGGTGCTAGTGCTGGTGTTGGTGCTCGTAAAGGTGCTTTTAGTAGTGTTGATTCGATTAAAGGAAGACAAGGTTTCGTACAAGCCTCAACCATTGTGTCTAAGCCTTCTAGACTGCCTCGTCCTGCTGTTTCTCCTCCTCCTCCCCCTACTCACGTCACGTTGTATGAGGATAGACTGGATGGTGATGGGTTTTATACACCCAAGAATAATGCCAAAAAGCGGACTTCATCAGAGTCACTTCTGGTTCATTGGGTAGTCAGCATCTTAAGAAATCTTAAAAACATTGTTCTTTGTGGTATTTATATCATTATGTACAGCAGTACTGGAAGTAAAAAAAAAGTTTGCTATTGTTGGTTGTCGTTTTCATAGATAGATTTGTGGGCATTTATAAGTGTCTCATCCATCGTACTTACAGACGTATAACAAAATACTTCCAGTGGCTCTTTAGAGTCAGTCAGTCTCCCATGGAGCATCTGAGAGGGTTCTCACCATGAAAGTTTTCGAAAAATAGAGTAGATGTGGCGCATACTGACACATATTTAGGGGTTAAAACGAATAAAAATCATATTTTGTTTGAAATGAAGTGGTTGAAGGTCTACAAACACTTTTTCTAGTGGGACAAATGCTGCCGACACTGGATACCTTGGCTGACCAGGTTTGGGCATTTTTGTCATCAATTTAGCTTACAATCTCAGATTTCCCCACCCAATGCCTGTAGGCCTTCATGGTTCCTGAAACCACAAACAAAAAAAACTGAAAATCGATATAATATCATCAATATTCATCACATTTTTTTTAGGACTCGACTATGTCACTCTCTACACGTTACATCTAAATATTTCAGGGGGAGGAGCAAATTTTTCTTAGCTACGGGCCTGTTTCAATGAATAATTTTCCCATCATATAATTGAAAAAATTATATTAGACTTTTTTTGTGAACGAAGAGTAAAAGAAAAGAACAAAAATATTCTGTCGCTGACAGCGAAGAGTATTGGAAGTTTGGAAAACTTAGCTCCCGTTGAAATTTCAGAGATGGTCAAGGGGAGACAATCTCTAACAAAGTAACAATTAACTTTCCCTGACGAGCACTGTTTGCAGATGGCGCTCGTGCTGGTAGCCGATGAAACAGGAATCGACAAAATTCCAAAATAAATACGAACAGAACCTGTTTTGTCGTTATTGCAAGCATTAGAAAAAGCCAGGTGATATAATATAATAATTTCACAATAGTTTAATAAAATTAATTTGTTTACTACTTGTTCTACAAGCTTACCATCGGAATGCCGAAATTGGTGAGAAGACGAATCATAAAAAAACATTAGAAAAAGATTTGAAAACAAACAAATGCAGAATTCAGTATAACCATTGCATATGATAATAGATCTAGATTTTATAATTTGTGAAATTGCCCAAAGTTTTGTTAAAAATTGCCCTTTGATAACTAATTTAAAGTACCGGTATTAATACGAGTTATATAATAAGAACTGTAAATTCATGTTTACAAAAAATAAGCTTATTAACTTTTCCAGTGGTTGACATATTCATCAAGCCAAACCAATACTCTCTGTAGTATTTTGTAATTGATATTTCAATTCATATGAAAGTATTTGCCAAAATATCAATTCAGAAAACAGTGTAATAAATGTTTCTTTTTATTACGGTACTGAAATGCTTCTTTGATAGATCAATATTAAAATAAATACAGTGGTGTAACCTATTTTCGTGCATATATATATAAGGATTCAAGACTGAATTTCAACAAAGTTAAAAAAAACAGAAATTTTTTTTTATGTCTTAGATGTTTCTTCAGATATTCTACAAAATAATTAAAATTGGTTTGTTTCGATTTTCTTTATGAATCTCTCACTTTGACCCATATTTCATGAGTAACCAACTCGACAGCGACTGCAAAATGCGTCACCTATTTTCGTGTACAATGTTTAATCTATAAATCAGGCGAGAAAAACACGTTGTATGGATACCCGGTGGTATAATTAACTTCTCTTAGTATTTATCTTTGATATCAAAAACTAATGACAATTCCTTCAAACAACCATGATTTAAAAAAAAAAATAGTGACTGACAAAATAAGATACGTAGCCTGATTTATTGCTAAAAATCATTGAAACAACTTAAGAATATAGCCTACATTGTGTTCCATAGAATTTTTCTGCTGACACGGAATCCGCTTGTTGATCACGTGACTTCATTCGTTAGACTACATTCTAGCAGACAAGACTTGGAATTCGGATTTCAGTGTGGGATGATAAAGAAATAAGGGTTATTGTACAGAAAACCCATGTTTATCAAAACAAGCAAATGCAAAGGTCGCACGAGGGGCCCCATGTAAATTATCAATTCTTTCCGGAGATGCACGAAAAATAGGTTAGCACGAAATTAGGTTTACTTGACTGTAATTATAGCTGCGGTCTACATGGTATAAGTTTGTGGAAAAAGTGTTTTGTACGTGGTTTTGGATTTATAGTAAATTGTTTGAATTGACGATGTCTGCCATCTCTTACGGCATGAGCACCACTGAAACCAAATGATCCTGTACACCAGTGAATCTTGACAAACCACAGAGAATGATTTATAAATATTTTAAGATACTCGTTTACAATGATGTATTCATTTTTATACGCCCACATCTCTCTATGTGGACGTATATTGTCGGTCGGTCGGTCCGTCTGTCAACATTTGCTTGTAAACGCTCTAAAAACTAGAATTTTTGATAATCAAATGAAATTCGGTATGTGTATACATATTCATAAAACGAAGATCAAGTTCGAATTTGAGCTATTTTCGACCATTAGAAGCAGAATTTTTGCCCTTGCCCCTAAATCTTGCATACTATACTATTACTCTCTTAGTTTTCAACTGATTTTGTTGAAACTTAAAATGGATGTTATTGGACCTAAATCGAAAGGTTTGAGAAAGTTTAGTTTACTTCTGATTAAATTTAAGGCTTTTTGAAGATTTAGATTTTAGTGCTTCTATCAACATCAATTGCTCGTATACACTCTGTTCGTCTGTCGGTCTGTCCATCAACATTTGCTTGTAAACACTCTAAAAACTAGATTTTTTGATGGAATCAAATGAAATTCGGTATGTGTATACATATTCAGAAAATGAAGATCAAGTTCGAATTTGAGCTATTTTCAACCGATTTTGATGAAACTTAAAATGGATGTTTCATTTTTACCATCCGCATGCCGTGGTGGGCGTATATGGCTGTGGTCCACTATCTATAATGATGTTAAGAGTTAATTGATTATCGTTCTTAGGATTTTATAGCTTTGATTATCGATTCATTGAATTTCATAATGGATTTAATTGAAGTTACAATTTCTCTTGTGTATCCATCTTAAGGTCAGTCATCAACTATAAGTAGTAGTCTCTTCCACAAAGTTTCACTTCAGCACATAACTTACCCTCATAACTATAATAACTGATCACAGCATTGAATTCATATAACTATAATTCGATGATAGAAAAATAACCCAAGAAATTAAAAATGTGCTTGTATATTGTCGTCGCCCGTCTGTCGGTCCGTCCATCTGTCCACAATTGGCTTCTGAATGCAATAGAGACAACAGTTTTTATCTGATTTGAATGAAATTTGGTGGGATCATTTATATTAATGAGATCTTGGACAAGTTCGAAATTGACGATCTTTCGATGAACGTTTTTTTAGTTATTGCCCCTGACTTACGAAAAACGCATCAAAATTTGGTTGTGAACACAATAGAGACTACAGTTTTCATCCAATTTAAATGAAATTTGGTGTGATCATTTATAGTGATCAGATCTTGGACATATTTGAAATTGGCCACCTTTCGATGAAGGGTTTTTGAGTTATTGCCCTTAATTTATGAAAAACGCATCAAAATTTGTTTGTGAACATAACAGAGATTACAGTTTTGATCATTTATAATGATGAGATCTTAGCCTTCAATTCTCAAGTAAAATATTTCCAATATTAATCAGTAGTCTATCGTCAATATTCAATCTCAATTTGTTAATTGATACCCAACTCTATTTTGGACACAATTAGATTATTTACAGTGTTCATCACACTTTCTGCAAATGCTTTCATTGAGCCAAAATTAGCTTGTTGGACAACTTTAGAATTCATTTGATTTTGATGATATAGTGTTGGTAAGAATTGTGGATAATAATAACAACATGGATAAGTTTGATATTTGTACAAACAGCATTGCATGATTACTCTTGATTTCATTGAACACTGCCATGGGTGGATGTTACCTTGCCTTGTAATATTTCATTTTTGATTTGATACTGGTAGCAAATAATATACCATATGAACTTCAAATAACCCAAGAAAAGATCATTAGTGAAATTGCTTTATAAGAATAAACTATCCATTATTGATTTGGATACATAATAGTGATTTGCCTCCCTTTACTAGCTTCTTTCTTTGGTCATAATTTACTTTTGATACTATTACGATTTGTACCTGTCATGCAAGCCTAAAGCCAATTTCAAATTAACTTCATTATCTAAAGTCAGGTTATAAAGAAAATGTAGGGCTGATTATTGTCATAATACGAAACTGTGGCTATTCAATTCATGCTAGCTTTATATGTATAGCTGTTGCTATATAAATAACTATTTACAAGGACAATAAAGCGTAGACAGAGTGTTATATTATAAGGTGTGACGTAGGTTAGAATAGTTCAATATTTATGAGATTTGACATATTTATCTAAGAAGAATAGGATTAATAAGACCAGTGTAAGAGAAGTGAAGGAAGACCTAATTGTATAACAGTATAGTTTGTTAAGCAGAAGGTAGCCTGGTTATTGATTGAAACCACCTACTCTGTATGATACAGGTGTTTTAAACCAAAAATCAATATTAATATGACATTGTTATCATGTACTGAAGATTTGAGAGACAATGACAACTGATTTCTCTATGGTTCATTATACAACTTATATCAGCTAAAAAATATAGATTTTCTGGATAACATTCATAATGGATTCACAAGTTTCAAGTTCTAAATGGACTTATAATCTGCGAGATTCATCGTAAGTTATATATATTTTTTGTCTAAGCAACGACATGTTTTGCAAGAATTGGCATATTATGTGATCAATGATAGTTCAAATATTTTTAATGGTTATAGATTTCCTTGTTGAAGGACATAATCATTGGATAGAATAACATTTATGAAGATTTGACTTTTGAATTAAAAAATGAACCAGTTATTGAATAATTTGCTAAGTTCTTCAACCTAAGTTGTCCATATTTTTGGAATGTGATACTGTTATTCATTATCCGCTGACTTGCCAACTGTAAACTACTTTGTCCTTTTTTCTCAATATTGTTTTTATTACAATGAATTTGTCAACATAAAATTGAACAAATATTTATCGAAAGGTTTCCTTTTTTGATGATTTATTTAAGAATATTAATCAATTCTTTATGCTGTAGATCTGATTATCACCTTATTTAGGTTTATCTAGCTAGTCATCTTAGCCACATTAACACATTTCCATTTCCCCAATAATCCTATGTCAGCCTGTTCAAAATCCTAAAAGCTAAGGCTCATTCTTCAAGTTCAGACTCTCAGAACATTGAAAGGAAACAGTTATATATACCATGAGTTTGTTGTGGAGATGATATGTTTTAAGATTGTTAAGATCTGGTTGTCACTCACATATTTGTTGACATGTATTTAATTATCTTAATGAGAGAAATCCATTGATTAGATTGTCCTTTAATTAGATTAATCTCTTCGCCAGCATTCATAATAACAATACTGAGTGTGAGTACTAATCCTGGTTGCAGAGATTAAAAGTTTGAATGTAATTGAACTTCATTGTTACTATGGTTTTGTTGGTAATCAGTATTTGTATTAATATAAGAGAGAAATATTGTGAAATAGAAATCAGAAAGAGGATTGCAATATTGTGTAAGGATTTTTATAATGCATTTACCAGAATCTGTGACTGATAAACTAACTAGGTAAAATATATTTGTTTATCTCATTATCTGTCTTCTACTCAATTTGTTTTTAAGTTATCATATTCAGGTTTAACTTGATATATTCTCTCTGATTTTTATCAAGATAATAATGAATTGTGGTAGGAAATTAGTTGATATTGAGCTTTACTAGCCTGTTTAGCAAATATTGGATGACTATATCACTTGATGAGTTTATTAACACATGACTGGAAGGGTTAATAAGTGTTTAGCATGATTTAATGGAGACTTAATCAATCTTCGTTGTCTGTACCGTTTTAATGCTGGCTCAAATGTAGTCTGACTAAAGATAAAATCAAGAACATTTTTATTTTTGTGTGTGTATTGAGTTACTTCTAAGTTCTATTGCACCATTTCAATTTTCCATCAGATGTCTCATAGTTCTATGTAAGCTTATATGACATCACTATCACGAAAACTGCTAATGAATTATTACCGATTTCTTTCACCTAAACTAATGATGTTCCCAGTCTAATTAAAATAAGACTCAACTTATGTTTGTTTTTTTTTAATTAGTTTTATTTTTAGTATAGACACTTCACAGTAGGGTCTAACGACCGGAGTCTTGAACATTCGTCAAATGGTGTATTTCAGGACCAATAGACTAGTTTATCAAGTACACTGAAAGTGAAAATAAAAAACATGCCTTTTCATTGAATGTTCTGAAATGATCCATTTAAATTTGATTGGCTAAATCAAAGGTCATCAGGTTAGGTAAAAAGGTTGATTTGACGGAATGTTCAAGACTGGGTTATTAGACTTTACTGTGAAGTGGCTATGATATAAATAGAAAGTAACGAAAAAAAAAACATAATATAATGTTATCCATTGATTTGTATGGCAAACTGTCTCTTAAATGTTAAAATCTTTGGTATGAAAAGTTCTTATATTGTTCAAGCAATATTTTATGATTGTTGTATTTTATGGAAGTTATGATATATGGTATTATAATCCTTGCACAGTATATCACTTTTAATATGACACATAAACTATACAAATATTACTGAACAAAGGTTCTTTTTTCTAATTTAATATTTCTTACAACATTATTTTCAAAAGTGTTATAAACGTATGATAGAGTTTACTCTGAGACAACTTGTACGGTCAGTAGTAAAACTACTTAAACCCCTCAAGACCAAATCTTGGTCAAGTTGCTGTTTCTCAACTCAATTTAATATTTTTTGTACAAGGCATTATGAATCACTTGTTTTTTAGTTTAAGATATTTTTGCTTCTAAGTTTTTTTTTTTAAATACAATTCAAGTGTTGTACTAATTGATCATTTCCTGATGAAGTCAGTTGTTGTCCATGACATTTAAGTTTGAGTATTTCAGAAAATTTAAACACGTATTCTTAATACATCAGTCTTTATCACGTTTTCATACAAGGTTTTAAATGATGTGCTATTTGCTTTATTTCATTTTAGTTTTAACTTTTGTATGCGATTGTTTAAACTTCTAAAATAAATAAGCTTTTAGATTTTGGCACCTAAGTTTACACTAGATATTGATTTAGAGACAACCTTATGTCAGAAATTATATATGTTTATATTTTATTTAGAAATATATATATTTCAGTTCACCTCAACCAGTCAAAATGAGCGCAGGACCACCAGGAAGGTTTGTAAAGTTCTATATATATTTTGTACACATGGATTGACTCCAATTATACTTGCGAAAGGTATTAGATTCCTAATCCATAAAGTTAAGTACCGATACCCTGACACTATGACAACAATTTGCATTTTTATTATTTTTCCTGGGAGACCTTCATTTACCTTAAAATCGTCTGGAATCTATAATTAACTTTTTATGATAAAGCTATATAGAAAAGAATTGTTTAGAGGATTTCCAACATTTCTATGTGCATTATGAACACTTATAGGTCCTATTTCTACATCACTCATACTTCTAAGGACACTATCTGTTAAACTGAAAGTTTAGAGTGGAAATATGAAGCAAGTTACTTGGTATACTTTGAGATGTTTAAAGCTCAGTTAAAACTGAAGGTTATCTATTTTTTTGCCTCTGTATTATTTTAGGGCATTAGAAATAATAATAATTTTGATGCACAAACTGAGGCAATTAAACTCGCTGACAAAAATATGATGCTGAGATTTCAAGAGAATGAACTCCAAGTTTAGTTTAACTTTGTTAGGTTGTGAGTTAATTCATAGTTATCATGAAACTAAAATAAAATTCTGATATAGTTTCTTGAATGTTTTTATGTTTAATGACCTATAGCTTATATGTGATATTATTTATACTTTAAGTATTCAAGATGATTACGCTTCAAAGAAAAGGCTTAATCAGGTTAGTATTTGATATATTGAACAAATTTTATGGTTGATAAACTTTTTGGCAATAGAATTATATCATAGTAATCTTCTATTTATATAATTTTTTTCTTTCGAATAAAGGCTATTGAAAATTAGACAAAGATTGTTTCCCCAAAAAAAAAAAAATTATAGTGGTTATGGTTAAAATGAAAATATTTTTTCAGCTGGAAATAATCGAAAAATCTAACAGAAAGAAGCGCCAGTCTCCAGGAATGATGCAACCAAATATTGATAGCCGTCCATCCTCAGGTAGAAAAAATCGTGAAGACGCTCGTCCACTAGTCAAAGAAGGAACAGCAAAGTCAGCGCCACCAGCAAATTTTGGTAATTAAGGTTATTCTTACAACTTTCGTTTTTATAAATTGAGATAACAAGGTTTGGTCTAGAAACTTCAAAAGGGGAAGTTATATTTCTCATTCCTTTTTGATACTAAAATTATGTTTTGAATATTTCAGTATATGATAATCCAGGGATTATGACACATGAAACATCATCTAGTAAAGTAGAAGTATTAAATGTAACATCAGACGTATCTAAAGATTATAGTGATGACAGTGATAGTGATGTCCCAACAATCACCACAACAGGTTAGACTAACTATAATTAATGACTAGGTATCATCTTGTTATGTTTTCATGTCTCACATCCTCAATTTATTCTTGAAGAGATAAAGGGGCCTATGATCATATTCAAACTAAACTTGATTGCAGTAAAACAAATTTGCATTTATAGTAAGCTTACATCACATCAAAAAATTGAAGGACATGATCTTTCTGATATTCCTTGTCTTTAAGAACATTCATGTGATTTGTCACAAAGATGATTTTGTTTAATGGTATTAATTTGCTTAAATGTGGATGAAAGAAACTAATGACTAGCTGAAGGGTATTTAACTTTTCATGATTCTATGCCAGACTTTTAAAACAGTCTTAAAGCATATAGTTATAGATTGCGCTGCTATATTCAATACAGAAATGGCTTTGTTATACTTCTTTTCATTGAAAGACTGTATCCTTAAGTACTGTTATAGTAAAACTGTAAGCTGATTATCGTTCAGGTATTCATACCATGGCTTTGCTCATGTGATATTGAAATATTGCAGATCTGTCATGAATACCTGATTTCATGTTATAAAAAATTCATAGATTTGACCTGTGTGATTATTAATAACTATGACCCATAGTTTGTTTGTCAGGTATGCTCGCAGTAATTATTTCTTGGCATCGCTTTGGCCTAGATAGTAAATGCAGTATGGGGTTGTTGTTAGCCTTGTATCTTATTTTTAGATGTTGGAAATAATTGTACATGATTCACTGATGATTATTGAAGCTAGGTTTAAAATACCAAACAATTTCCTGTTATATTGACTTTTCTTCTTTTGATCTATAAATGCTGTTGTATACCAGGTTACATTGTTTTAACAAGGAATGAAAATCAATAAGAATAAAACTTTAAATGTTGTTGATCTAGAATAAAAATCTATAAAATTGTTTGAAATAGTAATACAACATCTATAGATTAAAATATTTGAAATAATAAAAGAAATCAATGATTAATTCTACATGGTAGTTTGATTCTCTGTAATTTAATGATATTTTTATGACCTATTACTCTCTATCTATTAAAGATCGTTCATTTCTTCAGACTGTATGAAATATTATTGATCATTCTAGTTTAAATCAAATAGAAAATTAGATCAGTTGTGATTTTTTCTGTTAGTATTAAATTGGTTGTATACTTGATGAATGAACTGATCTTATGACATTTAGAATAACTTTGACTATCATTAAAATTAATGAAATGATTTGTATCAGGTAAATCATGAACATTCTGAATTAATTTGAAATAGTTCCAAATCATGTTCAATAACAAGTCGTAAATTTCTATAAATTCAATTTTAAGTGGTTAGCAGACAAAATTCAGATTTAATTGGTATATAAAATATATAAATTTTTGACAAAGCCAAATTACTTTTAGAATTTTTAACCAACGTAATTTTCACAAGTACTTCAGAATGTCATAAGCATAGAGATGTAATGTTATTCAGTTGTACTGACTGAGGGTAGGGTTCCAGTCTTATGCTTTAAGACCAAAAAGTTTTTACCACTTGTATTGTATGACCCTATTCAAGCCACTAGAGCCCATTGTTTAACTTTTGTGTTAATTAGATATATATAAGTTGAATGTTATATTTTTCAGGTGGATCTGAAACATCAATAAATAATTTTAACCGTCGTAATGGTCCATCACAAACTGTATCAGCAGCTACATCATCTAGTTTAATAACAGATGAAGAGGATGATGATGTTGATATTGAAAGTATGCCTATTGCTCCCCAACCTCCCCGCTCACCTAATCCTAACACACGTAATTCACAGTCCACTAATATGTCTGGTTTTAACACTAATCAGGTGAGTGGTGTCATATTGAATTCAAATTTGCTGTTGTGTCTGTAAGAGGACATTGTTCATATTTTCTTGAACTAGAAAAAATCTTGTGGAAAATGCTTATTTTCAAAATGTTGTCCAATGAAATATATTAGTATCTATCTTTCCTTTATTTCTTTCTCTTAAGTTTGAAAATAAAGGTGTATATTCTATTCCATTGTAGATGGATAGTTATGACGAAAATGAAAAGGGTGGTGCTAGTGGACCTAGAATGTATTCACCTGATCCTGGAGAGAATCTAGAAGAATTTGTATTAAAACCAGCTCCACAAGGTGTTACAATGAAATGTCGTATTACTAGAGATAAAAAAGGTGTTGATCGTGGTATTTTCCCTACATATTTCTTACATTTAGAAAGAGACGATGGCAAAAAGGTAATTATCATATTTCAAAGTGGCTATGGTTTGAAGCAAGGAAGTTGCAAGCCTTATCCAATGTAGGGAATGATTCAACATGATTTTTAAATGCTAGTACGGAATAACACTGAAGATCACAATGAATAAAAAATCTGGTCATAGGGACAAAACCTTAGAGTATTGTCTTCAGAATATACAGACATATACTTTGACTGCAATAGCCACCTTTTTGTACCACAGAATGCAGCAATTTGATTGGATCGTACGCCAGCAAATACAACCAGAGTTCTGACCTGAAAAACTGTAATCATAATGGCTCATTGTTTACAGACCTTCTGTCAGAACTCTGATTGGCTGTATTCACTGATGTAAAATCCAGTCACATTGCTGCATTTACAAACTTTAGTGATACAAAAGGGAACTCGTACATTGTAAAATGTATGAAGATAGGCTACATTATACTAGGGAAATGACAAATTGAAAAATTTTCTCATTTTCCACTGATATGTTTCTTGTGTTCATGGAGTTGAGACTAGTATATCATTAGACTCCCATTTCCTTTAATTAAACAACCATTACTTTATTGATATTAATATTAGATTAAGAATACAGACTCTCACAATGCTATTAAATACCTTAAATGTTTATTCTGTGGTCATATATAACTGAACTCAGATTGTAGTGTTTATGTAACAAGTTTTATGTGTTAAGTTGGAGTCTTACAAACTGTGAAACTTATTGTCTTACATAAATAATACATGATATAACAGTCTCAAACCACTCTTTTTTCACTTGATTTATTCTGTATCTCTAATTCATTTTACACTTGACTTAATTCTGTCTGGTATGGTCTGGTATATACTTAATTGTTTTTAAGTCAAGTTATAACATGACCTTCTCTTAAAAAAATCATACCATTCAAAAATATCAGTTATGGTATATAAGGTTGCCAATATCATTAACATAGTTATTTATAATCATAGAAAAACAGTTTGATATATTTGTGGATTTATGTTTTTTGCCTAATTTAAGTTTGATAATGTTCATTCAGCCTTACATGATTTTTGTGAAAACATAGACCCATCACTATATGTAATTTGAAATCTGCAACAGACAATAGAATATAGGAAAAACCATAGCATAACCTAAACTGTAGTTAGCAGACTATCTGTATTCTGTGGCTAGACACAGTGAGATGGAGATGATATTTAAATCTGTATTAAACTGTACAAGTTTCAAATTAGAGTGAAAAGTAGAAACTAGTTGAGATAAATATCTCAAATAACATTAATCATTTTGATATTTATCTTGATTTATATTCTAGACATTTTTATTGGCTGGTAGAAAACGGAAAAGAAGCACCACTTCAAATTACCTCTTATCTACAGATCCCACAGATTTAACGAGAAATGGTGAAGCTTTTATTGGAAAATTAAGGTATTTGATTGTTGATATTTTTGGCTAGTGCTTATTATAGGATGGAGAACAGCAAATATACTTAACATTTTGCATTACTTGACCGTACTAAAGACTCCATAAGCCTTGTTTCCTAAATAATTTATTAGATTTGGTTTTAAGCGTTAGAATTAAAAAAAAAAATTAAATGATAATATAAGATATTTGTGCCTGAATGAAACAGTGCAATGAGTTGTGTATATAGATAATCTATTTGTAATTCTAATTGGTGGTAGAGTTTTATTGATTATTGATTTATTGATTCAAATAACGTGGTCTATTTACTACTGTCTTTATGAAATATTGATATACACTTCTCTTAATGTCTTTATCTATTATTTTCTTATAATTACTCTTCAATAGACTCCCATTATTGTATACCACAGGTTTTCTTATTGAACATTCAGATTTGTATGTGACCTTGTGAGCTTAGTTCAACATTAAGAAAATAAAGATTACACAGAAAGTTGGGTTATTTTCTTTAAAATAAATTGCATTTCATTGTCTTGCTACATTTCATTGTCTTGCTACATTTCATTGTCTTGCTTCATTAATCTATTCACATACAGAGCTTTAAATCTCTATTTATACAATTCTATGCCATTGGGTTTGTATGTTGATATTTTCCATTTAGTTTTCATGTTAATTAATTTCCATGAATACATTGATTATAGGTCAAACCTGCTTGGAACACATTTCACACTATTTGATAATGGTACAAATCCAAAGAAAAGACCTGTGGCCTCCAGACAAGAATTAGTAGCTATTGCTTATGTGAGTAATTTGACTAATTAGCAATTAATAATGATTTCTGTATTTGTCACTTTATTTCAATATAATAATCTAACAAATTAGAAAGATAATGTTGTATTGATAGTGTACTTTGTTTTTATCTTACAGGAAACAAATGTATTAGGATTTAAAGGACCACGTAAAATGACTGTTGTTATACCTGGTATGAATCTTGATCATGAACGAGTTGAAATTAAGCCTAGAGGGGTAATTATATTAATTATTTATTCAATCAATATTTTCCATTTGTATTTAAAGACATGGCTATAGTGTACATTGTTTTGGTTTAGTATTGGCAAATAGCCATGTAAACTTACTGTTCCAAGGATGTTATTCCAATAAAAAAAAAATACAACCTAAATATTAAGTATAAAATCTGAATTTATTAAGGTTGTTTATTTTAGACTTCAGACTCATTGTTTTAAATATCACCCTTTTTAATGTATATTGATGATATCTTTATTTAAGTATAAACGTTTATGCTGAACTTTTATGGCATTCATTAGTAATTTATCATTTGTTTTTAACCAGTTCCATCAATTTATATTGTTATTTACTTTCAGGATCATGATGGTTTAATAGAAAAATGGAAACGAAAAAATATGGAAAATTTATTAGAATTACATAATAAGACTCCTGTATGGAATGATGGTATGTTATTTTACTCAATGATATTATAGTCGTGAGATAGGTTATAAGTTCATAACAGTACCTTGAAATCTTATATAATTGACGAAATTGATTGATATTTTTAAGATGGAACAGAACTTGTCTTGAAGTGAAATGCACTCAGTGCAGACATGAGAACACGTACTTCTTATCAAACTTCAGTATATAGGTTGGAACAGTTTTCTGAAGATCACATAGCATGAAACTCTGAGTAACATCATATTTCTAAACTCTACAATTGTATTGAGCACTATTGTAACAATGAAACTATTTTTATTGTTATATTTAAGATCTTAGTATGTATAATTTTCTTGTTTATTTCAGAAACTCAATCTTATGTGTTAAATTTTCATGGTCGGGTCACACAAGCATCAGTTAAAAATTTTCAAATTGTTCATGATAATGATGGTAAGACATATTTTATTACTAATAGAGCATGTGTATTTTTAATTAAATTAAATGTTTAATTCCTCACCAATTAGCCTAATTACAGTAGAAACTGTATTAAGAGACCACGCAGGGGAAAATTCAAAAACGATCTCTTACTGGAGGTGGTCTCTTATGAGAGAATTGAGTCTGCTAAAACAATTTCATTCATTTCCTTTATTTCATTCTATGTATTAGAAATCAAATCATAGCACCAAAAACACTGTTATTCCTTTAACAATGGTCCATTTACTACGGCATTCCGGGCGCGACAATCTTTATAAAACTCCTAAGTCAATTTGTTGATTTCTTCATTGCCGGTGAACCGCTTCACACGTTTCCAATCGGGAGAAACATTGCTTTCAAAATCCTCCAAAATGTCCGCTTTACGCTTCAGAATTCCCTGAATTTGGGTCTTACCAACCCCTATTTCATCGGCAATTTGCCTTTTTATATCGATAATAGACTGACATTAACAAGCTATAAAATTAATCCTTAGATCGATATGTGAAACAACGTGATGTTTAATCAAGGGAGTTAATAAGTGTTATGGTCGCTTAATTCACTCAATATGATTACACGGAAGTGTAAATACACGGTCGCTGGTTGCGTAATGAAGGTGGTTGCTTATCAGTCATTAATTACTTTGAAAACATTGTGGTCGTATATTGAAGGTGATTGCTTAATAAAGGTGGTCGCGTGAGCAGGATATACTGTAGTCCCATTTATGTACCGGTAGATGTATCTTGAATGTACAAATATTGTCATCAAAACAAAATTCTTGAAATTATAGTAAATGGTAACTATAATTATTGAATTTATTGTATATTTCAGTTGATTATATCGTAATGCAGTTTGGTCGTGTAGCAGAAGATGTGTTTACTATGGACTTTAATTACCCACTGTGTGCTTTACAAGCGTTTGGAATAGCACTGAGTAGTTTTGATGGTAAATTAGCTTGTGAATAGTGATATATGATTTACTCCTGCCTATTTAATTTATTTATTATACAATGTATAGAATATAGTGTTTAGAATCACATACAACTTTCTACATGCCATATTGGAAGACTACAGGTAGAACATGGATAATACGAATTACACAAGTGGTTTGTTGTGAAATAGCCAGAAGTCAGATAGTTATATAGTATATACATATCATTCATGGTGAATATAATAATATTATTGGTTAATCCTCAGATATCAACAATTTATTAATATTTGTAATTCCCATATCTAAACATTCCAGCTAGTTTTCTAAATACAAGACTTTGTAGATTTTAAATTGATTGAAATCCCCCAAATTCTTACATTTAAAGAAATTTTTAAGAGTTAGTATACATTCCAAGAAAATATTACAAACATGGGCAAATATCCTTTTATCCAAGACTGCTTACTGATGTAAAGGGATTAAAGCTTACAAACCTGTCATGATGGCAAGCTTCAAACCCTTTTCTGAAATGTGACAGCAGTATTGTAGGAAGAGGTTGAACTGGTAGTAAGAAGAAAAGAGAAAATTCAAGTGCTTTTAACTATTTATTAAATGTAAATTATTGATAGTTGTGATATAAATGTGATAACATGTTACAATAGCCCTTTTTTAAAACTTGTACATAGTTATTTTAATATTTCATTTCTTAATATATCTATCAAAATTGATTTGATGATTCCACAAGATGTAGTGTTGTAAATGTCATAATTCTTGTCCATTCATAATAACTTATATAATATTATTTGTACAACAATGACCTATACCGTCCAATATTTATTTGTATAGAATGATTTTCATCTTCATTACAAGTTTTGTTTACCTCAAACAATTCAATTAAAAACACCAACTTTGTTTTGGCTTTGTGTCATTTTATTTTATTTTGTCAAAAAAATCTTTTTTTCACCAAATTTTAGTAGTCTTGATGAATTGATTTCTTTGTTCTTGTGCTCATGAGGAAACCCACCAAATTAAAATAATTACAATGATGTAAAGGTTCTAGTGGAACTAGTAGTATTGTTTGCCAAAATAATCATCACACAGGCCTATGATTAGGACCACACAAAATATTTTTTCTAAAATCTAATTAAAGATGCAAAAAGAACATAACAGTCCTCACCAATGACACTTTATTCTAAAATCACAGATAAATTGAGGCAATTGTGAACAAAGTTATAAAATGTTTGAAAATAACACTTGTCTAAACTGTTTATTACTTTGATAATGCTCCAGTCAGTATTAAGATATAAAACCCTTTAGAAACAGATCAGAATGAGGTTCATTTCACATAAGGGCAGTGGTTTTCACAATTTAAGTCAACCAGGAAAAACATATCATTGAAGACTAGCTATATTTGCCAGTATAGAGATAAACTGAAGGGTAATTGCTATGAGTTTGTAGAAAGACCATGTTTTCTCATTCCTAAGGGAACAATCTAGAAGAAAATGTCAGGGTTAATCTACATGTTGATTTAGATAAGGGTTAAATTTATCCAGTTTTATCAAATTGAAGCCGTCCTATCGTATATTTATTTTATAAATTATTAATGTTTTTATTTGATGTTGCTTTCATTTTGTTTTTGCTCTGAGTATGTGTGACATGTGTATTGTTTTAACGTGTGATTCTGATTATTGTAATGTTAACAACAAATTGAAGTGATACAAATAAAAGAAAGAAGGTACACATACTGACATCTGTTTTTTTATTGTTTTCTACATTGGGGGTTCAGTGCTTTGAAACTTTATGATTGAAAAAGTCTATGGCACTGACTCAATATGTCCTGTAGACATGATAATGAGAAAAGTGGTTCAAACAAATTTGGAGTTTTTGTAAAGTTCATGTCAAATGAAGACTGGCTGCTGGCTGTGGAAAAGTTGCGTTGCGTTGAACAAAATATGACTAATGTTGGTGGGTGAAAGTCTAACCTCTCATCTCTCCTTATTTGACTATCAGTTGTAAATGGAAAGGATTATCTGTGATAGATCAATTCCAATAGATTGGGCTTGAGGTAGATCAAGAATAGCAACCTTAGTGCTTGATGAAGTTGCAATTCTATACATGAATCAATACTCATCCAACAATATGATTTAATGTGATATATCAGATAAGGAAAGAGAAAGAAATTATAACAATTTAGTCACTTTATAGCACATCAAAACATTTAAAAGTAACAAAATGTGAAAGATAATTTTCAAACGCTGGAGTCAGGAATTATTTCTTACAAATTTTTAAGTGAAAACTAGACTAAAATTTTGTGTCTACAAGATTATACATCAAGATTATTAACTAACGCAATGCATTGATAAGAATGAAAGAATCGCTATTCATCGTTGCTATCAATGTAATTGTCATTACATGGTGGCAAAATACTTGCTAACCTGGAGCTCCAAGTTATGATACTGGAATAGGTCAACATATACAGTTATATACATAAAAACTTACCAGACAACGGAGATAAATGCTATTCACAATAAATAAGAACAATTTACAACTCTTACATAATGATTTTAGTAATTTTTTTTATAAAATATAAATACATGTACTAATAGTAATTTACAAAGGTTGGAATCAGTAATTAAGTTGATAAGGGATGAACTGGCATGGTAATAGTCAGTATCTGTAAAGAAAAAAAGGGAAAAATGTGACTTTCATACTTTGGTGAACATTAAATTGAAACAATAAAAAAGAACATAATATTTGAATACCAAGTTGTATAAACACAAAATAAAGCTATGAATCTAACTTTTCTGCTCTTGATTGTCTAATAATTGACAACCATGTCATGCTCAATGAGGAAAATTTCTCTGGACATCATATATTTGCATACTCTTTTTAATTTGATATCAGTAGTATTTGCATCAAAAGCAGAGTATTTTACTACCTTTGTTTTTCTATCAAACTGGGCACCACATTCATCTTGTTGTATATAATATGGTAAAAATATATCTAAATCATAAACATTAGATCTAGTTTCTAAAACTATTCTATCTTCACCTAAATCTAACTGTAGTGTCTGACTGCTTTTCTACAAATTAAATGAGTAAATCTTCAAAATATACCTACAATCTAAATACATCCCCTTACTATGTTAAGTCATCTGGTGGCTGGTGACCAAACATATTTAGATATTTTCAAAAAAGAAAAATGAACATTAGATAATAGGAAGCCGCCTTGGATCAATCTGGCATCTGTTGAGATAATTTTATCAGATTTTTCAACCTGGTTTGAACTGTTATTTCATTCATTCATTTATTTATTCATTTGTTCATTCATTCTTTACTTACAACTAAAGGAAGGTGTATTTCTGCCACTAAAAATTCAGGATGACCAGAAACAGGTTCTTGTAATATAGTAAATTTAGGTTCAGGAGCTCTATAGAAGAAAACAAAACAATAACAATCTCTTTCTGGTCATAAAATAATGGTACAAGGACAGAAGAAGCTTTAAACAGTGAAATGTTGCTGAAAATATCAGGCCTGCTCGGCCAAACAGCTAACTAACAAAGCTGTAGATGAATCAAGAATTTAAATTGCTGTAACAATAGCCGATTTCAGACATGATAGACAAGAGTTTTCAATGCATAGTATTAAAATCAGAATTCACAGTTGGTTTCTCATAGAATCTATTTTGTTTCTCCAATATGCATTGAACAAAAATACTGTAATTAATAAATCTGATGAATAACCACTTACTTTTTTCTTTCAACTTTTGATGGTTTGATTTCCTCTATTATTTTCTTGTTGGTATTTATTGATGAGCTGTTATTTAAACTATTCAGTATATCAGAGGAATTTCTAAAGAAAATCAAAGTTCATATTGATGTTAATATATCAACAGGTGGAATAAAAGGTGATCTAAACAATATAAGCATTGAATGCGCTTGAAAATCGACTTGACAGTCTCTACAAAATTGATTCTGTGGTACAATTTTGATTTGACATTAACACTAACAAAGATCAAAAGAACAAAATTTATTGAATGATTCATCTTTCATTTGCAGCACAATAGTCCTTAATAGACATTTCTATTATGAAAATTTACGACAAAAGGCATGTTGTGTTTATTAGTATCTTAATTAGGTAATAAATATCTTATTTTCCACACCTGTACTGTTAATTAGAGTCTAGTAAATACTCTTCAACATAGTTAAAATAAAGTTCAATATAGTGGTGGTCTACTTACTGATTCACTTCTGTAATTAATGACTTTGATCTATCTTTAACATATTGTTCAGCTAAATCACCAACAAATTTACGATTCTTTAATATCACCCATTCTATAACAAATAAGACAATCTTTTATGCAATTAAGGTACAATTTCCTTTAGGTTCTATGCAGTTTAGGTAGGTGTGTGTACTGTTTTTTCTAATGAGGATAATTCAGTTTTTGTGTAGCTTTTCAAACCTGATTAACAAGAACCACAGAATTTACCATTTCAAAAAATGTGGTTTAGTTTACCTGTAACTTCAAAATTTGATTTAACAAGAATTTTCTTTTTCAGACCTCAACAAGTAGATCAAGAGTATAGGTCATTTATTTCATTTTATGTTTAAGCTTACTGAAATATCATCATATTTGAATTTGAAAAAAAAAGCATATCATCAAAAGAAGATAAAAAGTGAAGAAATTCTAATAGTAAATAAATAGGTAAATAGTCAGGAGTGACAACAATAACAATAGAATGAGGTTAAATTCATTATATATCAAGTATGTGAACCATATTGAACATCATTGTCATGCCAATGATTAAACTACTTTTTAAATCATTAATCAATTATCAAAAGAAGATTTCATCACAAATATGCTAGTTATTTTAACATGTTAATTCATAACGGTACCTAGGTAGGTAGGTAGATGACAAGTTAACATTCGCTTCCAGCGGATGCTGATATTGCAAACTAGAGAGTACCTAGAGAGTTCTGTGGTAAAGTACTATACCTCTTGATAATTCCTGATCATACTTCAACTCCACCCCTTCTAACATTACAGTCAGGAAAAAAGTCTTGATGAGTTCACTAGAATTTAATTGGTTATAAAATAATGGATTGACAATCACATCATAAGCTGTACAACCTTGACCAGCTACAATCAGAAAAACAATCATAATATAGAGAAGATTAATACCATCAAATCCTTCATTCATTGACAAATCTACTTTACTCTTCATGATAAATGACAAGTATCATACAATTGTCTTTAATCTTACCACTTTAACACCTGATGTCTTTGGTTCCTGTAATTATAGAAATGCTGAACCATATATGTCATCATTATTGCAAAAGAAATTAATGAATTTTTATCAGCCTTTAAGTTAGTGACCTCATAAAACAATTATCATATTTCAAGTGGTATTCATAACCCACTTCTAACTGATAATTAGAAAGGTGCAAATCAATGCTATCAGTATCCCCGATATATATAATTCATAAAACCTTTTAACAATTTTGTTCATGTCATGTCCCTTTTTTGAATCACAATGTTTAATCTTCATACAATTTATGGGTCATATATAAATTTTTATGTGCACAGACACTACATAATATATTAGAAGATGTATTTTGCATAGCTATTTTTCATATATGTATGTTGTTTCATTACTGTTTATTCGATATGTTATTATATGAGTGAGGTGTGAATTGCCAATGTAGTTTTAAAGTGCACAAACACCTATTCACCTTATTATTTAATTAACACTTTCACTATTTTCATTGAATATATTGAATAAATATAAATCTAGCAGTTTGTATGTTAATTAATGTAATAAAGAGACAGATGCACCATTTTGGGGGGTTGATTTGGGTCTTCAATGTAAGTAAATAGTCTTCAGAAGTACTAGAAATGTATGAAAATTGCATATTCCTTCAAAAACATCTCAAAGTAGGAATTTCTTTTCCTATTTCTATAGATATCTTTCTATACTATGGCAGTGTCTCATAAAAAGATGACTCAAACGCGGATTATTCCGGACACACATGGATTTTAAGGCTCAAATTTTGACATGAGCTGTGAACACTAATACTGATTGGCTTAGCTATAAAATTCCTGGGGCACATGTCTCTTTAAAGGGGCATTCGGCTTTTTTATAGCGGCAGCTTTGTGGCAGCTTTGATTTTGAATAAAAATAGTTGGCAGTACAGTAACAATTATCAGTATGAAATATTCTACCTTCAGTCTTACACTTCTTTTGAACTCTTTAGGGCGATACTGAATAATATTACCAAGTCAAAATCTGTCAAGAATTGGACCTTCTAGAGTGTTTAAAGGCTTAAACTTCAACTCATTTTTAACAAGGACAATAACTCAAAACTAAATATTTTTCGATTCTTCTGATTTTCGATATGGTTGATAACAATCACTTAAACAAAATTTCATCAAAATCTGTCAAGAATTGTGCCTTCTAGAGTGATTATTGGCTAAAATTTGAATGTGTTTCAAGAACAAGGACATTAACTCATACTAAATATTTTTCGAATTTTTCTGATTTTCGATAGGGTTCATCCTTTGGTCATAACAAACATTTTCACCACATTTCGTCAAAATCTGTCAATAACTGAACCTCCTAGAGTGTTTAGAAGTTAAAGTTGTTTTCAAGAACAAGGGCAATAACTCATACTAATCATTTTTCGATTTTTTTGTTTTCAATACAGTTCATCCTTGGGTGAGAGCAAACACTCACACCAAGTTTCATCAAAATCTGTCAAGAATTGCACCTTCTAGAGTATTAACGAGCAAGAATTGTGTCTTCGAGCAAAAATGGACGGACGGACGTGGGTGAAGCAGCCCGGGGGTGTAGACGCCGCCATTTCATGTGGGCATATAAAAATGTTGTAAATCATACCTGAAAATAGTTCTTAGTATGCTTTTTATATCTATGTATCTACTTGATCAGACTGAATTTGTTTTAAAAAGTGGAAATTAAGCAGTTTAATCTAGTTTTGGTGTTTGGTTTCATAATCTTTAGACACATAGGTGACATATTTCTCTACAATTAGGAATCTACTTTACTTAAACACATACAGTAGTTTTCTTACAGCTTCCAAAAAGTATAACAAACATCAAAAGTTCACGTAGTTTTGCCGTATAAAACGGCTGTATTTTTTCAGTTAAGGGACACATTTTTTAAGATTTTGGTGTATATTTTTCACAAATTTGAGCAAAAAACATTTCGAGCTATAAAAATGCAGAATGTCCCTTTATAGGCCATGGCATGCTTCATATATATTCCTTGGGTTGATTTGGGTCTTGAATAAATCTTAAAAGTCCTAAGAAAAACTAAAACCGTACGAAAAATCGCTAATCCCTTTTAATATACCTCAAACTAGAAATTTCACTTTCTAATCAGGACTACTTGATATGTTTTTTCTGTATATGGCGGAGTCTCAAGAAAAGATGAGTGGTATAGTTAAAAATTCTGGTTTCTGAGATGGCGAACCTGTCTCTTTATACATGGATATACTCTTTATCCGTAATGACAAGAAAAAAATATAACAATACAATATTGGCTACAGTCCGACACAATGTCTTCTGAAAGATTTATATTTACTGCTATGTCGTGTCATTTCATATTATCAATTATATATTACATTATCACATGGAAAAATAAAAGCCATAAAAGACCTCGATACACATTTAGATAGCCTCATTACGATCCATTTAACATTGCATTAGCTTAATCTTAATTATCCTTCAGAGAATTCTGTGTAATACAAACAGAAACAAATATATTAACTAATAGGAACACATAACACATATGTATGTGTATATAATAAACAAGGCCCAGTAATATCTTTGAATTTATCATACTATCATACATTTACTATATACTAATGTGTTTACAAATGCACTCATCAAATAATGTGTATATGTATTAATTTGTATGAAATAAAAATATCTTACATTTATCAAGTTCAGCATGTGGTGCACCTATACTCATTGGTATTCTAAACTGAGTAGGGTCATCTGATTCTAATATCTTTATCAACTCATCATCAGTGATATCTGGTGGACTTGGAACCTTCAAATTTATATAAACAGGGATGAAACTAGTCTGAAACCAGTCTGAAACTAGTCTGAAAGATTCTGACACCTACCAAACGTCTGGTACTTAGTTTTGATAGTTGTTGATTAACTGCGAGTCAGATGATTGAGCCCCTTTTTATAGAAATCCCCTTTTCAATAAATTCAACTCATAAATATTTAAGATAAATATTTCTTTGGTTGAAATGCAAACATAAAATTGCTGTGAACATTTGCTTATCAAATTCAAATTGTTAAATTGAAACCTGCTAAAATGAAAGACATCTTAATTAAAATACTTACATTATCCGCTGTACATATATTAACAAAAAACTTCTCATCTTTCTTATTCTTGAGTTTGACACAAAATCCTAAAACAAAATGTAAATGGTAACATGAGCCATTGATAAATAAGAATGTATTGTACTTTTGGTTATAAATCTGCACTGTTTGTACTGTAATATACAAAACTTGACAAACCTGGTGATGGTATAACTGTAGAAAATGGTTTGTTATTTATTTGTAGTTCACTGGCTAATTTATCTGTGTCTTCACCATTATTCTACAAGTTACAAAAAAAAAAACATAATAATAGAAATACAGGTACTGTAAATTCAAATAAGATCTCCTTTGGTTCTTTCTAAACTTGTTCCTGAGTGACATCTCTACTGTCAGACAACTGTGGTTTCAGTATTCTAATTGATTTTATGAGCCCAACACATCTAGCCCAGTCCCTTCCTCAGACATGACTATAAGAATTGGATATTGGCATATTTAGGACAAAATGTACAATGGGGAGTTGGCTCCGATCTATTTTTTGTGTCGCTAGTTTTAGAGTACTTTCATCGGCAATGTCACTGTGCTCCACCCAGAATATCCGGTAATGTCTCACAACTCATTTTACATATCAGAGCCTAGAGGAGATAATCCAAAAAGAAGGTTATTTTCATGTGCAAATAAGAGAGTGTAAGAGAGAATTTCATATTTCCAAGCCTTATTTTTATCACGAAAAACTTTCATTAGCAAATATGCACTTGAGAATTTTAATTGGAATAGTTACGAAATGATATTCATATCAATAGATCTATTCCAATTCACATAAATTTTGTTGGCAAAGTTTTTTCTCTCATTTCATAAATATACAAAATAAAATTTCCAATCGTATGCCATTTGTCTTACAATGTCTTTGGGTAGAAATATGAAGTTTACTGATTTTACATTAGAAATTAACACTCTTTCCTCCCAGAAAATTCACCTGAAAATGGCCCACTTTTCGGACTGAAAATTCCCCACCTCTGTAAAATCATTTTTACAATTAATATTTCTTTCAGTGTTAATCAACCAAAAGATAATCTAAGACTATCATTAGTATTTTGTAATTGATATTTCAATTCATGTGAAAATGCTTGTCAAAATTCTCTTCAGAAAACAGTGTAGGCCTAGTCAGAGAGAAGACAGTTCTAATCTTGGCCTTTTTTGGCTTTGGCCATTTATCTAGGCCTAATTGTATAGATAATGATGTCGTAATATGAAATAAGCCTAGTGTAAATTATTGTACCGAGTCCAAAAGGAGACGATTTAGCAATGCTTGCGCTTGATCCGTATCTTCCTGTTCTAACATTTTTTACAATTCAATATTTATGTCTGAAAATGTGATTTATTAAGCAAGGAATATCCCAAGTTCGGACTTAACAAAAATCCAGTGGTTTCATCAAGACCGTCGTTACCAACAACACATCCCTCACTCGTCAATGCCGTACAATTGTAAGAATACAAACAAAAACATAAAAAAACGAAATATATCGTCGTGCACATTCGAGTGTCGCTTCACACTTCAGGTACTAAGTCACAGTTTATTACGCTGACAAATTTGACACATTTTATTTTACCACCTGAGATGTGGAGCTGTGGATCAGTAAAAAAATGCTCAATGGAAGCTATTTTTATACGCCCAAATGAAATGGGGGCGTATATTGCCGTGACCCATGTACGTCGGTCCGTCCGTCAGTCCGTCAAGTGACAGTTCTTGACTGATTTAGAGGAAACTTGGTGTGAGTGAGTGTATTGAAAATTGTTATCTTGTAAACACTCTAGAAGGCACTTTTCTTGACGAAACTTGGCATGAGTATTTGTTATCACCCAAGGATAAACCCTATTAAAAATCAGAATAATCGAAAAATATTTAGTATGAGTTATTGCCCTTGTTCTGGAAAACGCATTCAATTTTTTAGCTTGAGAACACTCTAGAAGTGTGGTGTGAGTTTGAGTGTTCGTTATCACCCAAGGATGAACCCTATCGAGAATCAGAAAAAATCGAAAAATATTTCTTACCAGTTTATATTGGCCATGTTCTTGAGAACGTGTTCAATTTTTAGCTCGTAAGCATTCTATAAGGCTCAATTTTTGACAGATTTTGACGAAACTTGGTAAAAAGGGATGAACCCTATCGAAAATCAAAAAAATTGAAATATGTTTCACAGGAGTTATTGGCCTCTTTCTTGAAAACGCTTTCAAATTTTAGCTCTTAAACACTAAAAGGCATGATTCTTGCCGGATTTTGACAAAACTTGGCTTTATTATTTAGTACCGCGCTTAAGATTGAATATTTGCCTTCTAGAGTTTCACGAGGTAAAAATTGAACACGTTTTCAAGAACAAGGGCAATAACTCATATTCAAAATTATTCATTATCGCGCTAAAGTGTTCAAAAGAAGTGTATGACTGAAGGTTGAATATTTCACACTGGTGATTGTTATTGTACTGCCAAATATTTTTATTCAAAATCAAAGCTGCCAGTGGGCGCATATTACCTTGCTTGGCAAGCTATCTTTAAGATGTCTTATGATAGGGCCTCATAAGTTTCTATTTAAAAATAGAATTGTAACAGTGGCGGGGTCAGCCTTCCGAGACTGAGGGTAAAAACAGGGGACAGAATGGGGGACAACTGCTGAGGCTGAATTCACATTTTGGCTACTCTTTGCTGTGTCGCAAGCCTTTCATATTCTTACATTGTGGTAAGAGTTATCGTTCCTTAACTTGATTTTCGGTCAAAAAACAATTCAATTCAATTCGACCCACCTTACCAGTATGTCGCAAGCCAGTTTTAAAAAATGAGGAGAAATTTAATCTTCTGATATTGAACGTTCCCAACGAGAGATCAACAAGAACTCCCCCATTGGAACCACACGAAAGATGTATTTATTGTTTCGTTTTGATTTGATATTTTCTTAAGAAAACTGTAACCAGTCATATTTCTTAATTCTGGCATTGGACCTCTAGTCATGTATTTCTAGACTCAAGGAAAATTGATTTGGATCCACAACTACCAAACCAACAACGACCAGAAGATTGAATTAGTATGGGTTCCATCGCACGTCTCCATTCCTGGCAATGATCAAGCAGACCGTTGTGCCAAGGAAAGTCTGAGTCTGGAGGATATCGAGCCTGTAGAATACTCCTATTCGGAGTTCTGCAGTATCGTATCTTCTAGGATCAACCAGAAATGGGCCGACATGTTACGGAACCTCGACACCGCAAGATACCAGATTGATCCGAAGATACCAAACCAAACCAAACCAAACCATCCATCTGTAGCCATCTGCAAAGTGGCAACCAGACTTCGGACCAACAACGTACTACGAGACCATCAGTTCAACGCCATTAAATGTCGCTGCGGCCACGTTGCCACAAGGTCGCATGTCCTCATTCAATGCACTGAACTGAAACCCGCTCGTAAGCCACTGCTAGAGTACCTGGAAACCAACGGCATACCACTCACCATACAGAATGTTTTGGCTCCACCCACGGACCACTGGTATACGATAATGGAACTAGTCTTCCATGTGAAAGCTTCCCCCCCCCCCCTCTTTCCTCCCTCTTTTTCTCACTCTCTTTTTTTTTCTTTTTTTTTTTTCAGGTCTTCGAGTTTTCCAACAGATAACAGATAATCTTACCAAACCAAACCAAACCAACGACTACCATTCGACTACCAATCAACAAGAAATACCATGATCAGAACGAGTTTGGAAGAATGAAGGAGACCGAGTAACTAACGCCACACCACCCAGGGCCGAGTTTCACCGCCATGTCATTCGACCCGACCAGATCTAACGAAGAATCAACAACCAAACCAACAACACCGAATCATCCAATTTGATCCAATCCAACTACCAACTACTACGACTACGAACAACTACCTAGTTTGCGATATCAGCATCCGCTGGAAGCGAACGTTAACTTGTCATTTACCTACCTACCATTGATTTGGATTTGAAAATCCGAAAGCTGATCAAACACAAGTTCAGAACCCCTTCACTATCATTTGGAAATCTAGACATGATCTAAAGTGATCCAAAACAGATATTAGACTCATTCCATACCTCGACTTATTCTTTGTCAGCACGGTGTGTTACAAATCGCATACAGATTAAGAATTCTTTCTTTCATATGTTTATAATTTTAACTTTTAATCAGTATTAATATTCTGTGTATTTGCAGATGTAAGAGCCCAAATTATGGATGTACAAAATGAAAGATGAAAAAAATAAAATAGCAATGCCCAACTGGATCCAAATGATTATAGCGATATAGTAATAGTTGAGATATCTATATCACTTTCAAATATGTGGTTTGCCTATGAATTTCCATTTTGATAAGTTCTTTTGGGCAGAATAATTTGAGGTTTACCTACCAATAAACCTAATAATCTTGATTTGTGTATATATTAGAAATTAAAAAAAGTACTGTGTTGCTTTTAATTGGACTATATGTCCATCTGCTGTAATATAACAGAGCACCCACCTGAACTGGTCAATCAATATACAGTCTTTCAGTCTTGTGAAAATTTGGTTTCTCCACATATATCTATTCAGGTGCTCAAAGAAAATAAGTAGATTTGACAGGGTGACACTAACAAACGTTCATCAATCTTCATCCATCCTGTTGATTAGGTAAAGAAATATACATCTTCCCATACTGTTGATTAGGCAAGGTAGCCTACACCTTCGCATACCGTTGATAAGGCAGGGTAGCATACACCCACCCATACTGTTGACTAGGCAAGGTAACATACACTTAGGCCTACCGTTACTGTTGACTAGGCAAGGTAGCATACACTTAAGCATACTGTTGATTAGCCAAGATAACATACACTTTCCCATACTGTTGATTAGACAAATTAACATACACCCACCCATACTGTTGATTAGACAAGGTAACCTACACCTACCCATACTGTTGATTGGACAAGGAAGCATACACCTACGCATACTGTTGATCAGGCAAGGTAACATACACTTACACATACTATTTATAAGGCACGGTAATATACACAGCAATGCTATTTATTAGGTAAGGTAACATACATACCAATAATATTTATCAGGCAAGGTAACATACACACCCTTACTCTTTATAAGCAAGGTAACATACACATCAATACTATTTATAAGGCAAGGTATCATACATACCAATACTATTTATTAGGCAAGGTAACATACACATCAATACTATTTATCAGGCAAGGTAACATACATACCAATACTCTTTATAAGCAAGGTAACATACATACCAATACTATTTATAAGGCAAGGTAACATACACATCAACACTATTTATCAGGCAAGGTAACATACATACCAATACTCTTTATAAGCAAGGTAACATACATTCCAATACTATTTATAAGGCAAGGTAACATACACATCAATACTATTTATAAGGCAAGGTAACACACACATCGACACTATTTATTAGACAAGGTAACATACACATCAATACTATTTATTAGACAAGGTAACATACATACCAATACTATTTATTAGACAAGGTAACATACACACTAATACTATTTATTAGGCAAGGTAACATACACATCAATACTATTTATTAGGCAAGGTAACATACATACCAATACTATTTATAAGGCAAGATAACATACATACCAATACTATTTATAAGGCAAGATAACATACATACCAATACTATTTATAAGGCAAGGTAACATACACACTAATGCTATTAATTAGGTAAGGTAACATACACATCAATACTATTTATAAGGCAAGGTAACATACACATCAATACTATTTATCAGGCAAGGTAACATACACATCAATACTATTTATAAGGCAAGGTAAAATACACACCAATACTATTTATTAGGCAAGGTAAAATACACACCAATACTATTTATTAGGCAAGGTATCATACACATCAATAAGATTTATAAGGCAAGGTAACATACACATCAATACTATTTATAAGGCAAGGTAACATACACATCAATACTATTTATCAGGCAAGGTAACATACACATCAATACTATTTATAAGGCAAGGTAAAATACACACCAATACTATCTATCAGGCAAGGTAACATACACATCAATACTATTTATAAGGCAAGGTAACATACACATCAATACTATTTATTAGGCAAGGTAACATACACATCAATACTATTTACAAGACAAGGCAACATACACACCAATACTATTTATAAGGCAAGATAACATACACACCAATACTATTTATTAGGCAAGGTAACACACACTTCAATACTATTTATAAGGCAAGGTAACATACATACCAATACTATTTATTAGGCAAGGTAACATACACATCAATACTATTCATAAGCCAAGGTAACATACACACCAATACTATTTATTAGGCAAGGTAACATACACATCAATACTATTTATTAGGCAAGGTAACATACACATCAATACTATTTATAAATTTATAAGGCAAGATAACATACACATCAATACTATTTATTAGACAAGGTAACATACATACCAATACTATTTATTAGACAAGGTAACATACACACTAATACTATTTATTAGGCAAGGTAACATACATCAATACTATTTATTAGGCAAGGTAACATACATACCAATACTATTTATAAGGCAAGGTAACATACATACCAATACTATTTATTAGACAAGGTAACATACACATCAATACTATTTACAAGACAAGGTAACATACACATCAATACTCTTTATAAGGCAAGGTAACATACACATCAATACTATTTATTAGGCAAGGTAACATACACATCAATACTATTTATTAGGCAAGGTAACATACACATCAATACTATTTATTAGACAAGGTAACATACACATCAATACTATTTATTAGGCAAGGTAACATACACATCAATACTATTTACAAGACAGGCAAAATACACACCAATACTATTTATTAGACAAGGTAACATACACATCAATACTATTTATTAGGCAAGGTAACATACACATCAATACTCTTTATAAGGCAAGGTAACATACACACTAATGCTATTAATTAGGTAAGGAAACATACACATCAATACTATTTATCAGGCAAGGTAACATACACATCAATACTATTTATAAGGCAAGGTAACATACAGACCAATACTATTTATAAGGCAAGGTAACATACATACCAATACTATTTATAAGGCAAGGTAACATACATACCAATACTATTTTTCAGGTAAGTAAACATACAAGTTTCTGTATATATTGACGCTGTAAGTTGAATAAAAATTGAATCAAATGGTTAGGGAACAGGTTTTTTTAGCAGAGCCATTTACATATAATTATAGAATATCTAAACCGTATATGATATCTAATCACAGCTTTTGCAATAGTGACGCCATAAAACGCGTAATCATTTCAGTGGAATTATAATTTGGAATGTTGCAAACCATGCTATCATTTATCTAAACGTTAAGAAAACTTTTTTTTATAATCTCTGGGAGTTTATCGGCGGGGGACGAACCGTGAAACAATGATATGAACAATGATATGAAACGTAAATTTGGACAGTTGACCTTCCCTAACATACAAAAAGATTTAATTATGAATTAAGGAAATTAATGTCTAAATCTGAAAATCTAACATTGAACTTGCGGAATGATTTTAAGAAGTGACCTGGTTTAGCGTGATTTGTCATAGAATAAACTCATCAAAAAACATGAATATAAGCAATGTTTTCTTGTATCGTAAATTCTGCCTATTTCATTTTTTAATTTTCATAAAGTACAGATATTTCGTTTTTTCTTAATTTTGTTTTGGTTACCTTTTTGTAAGGTAGCCGCAACAGACGACGGGCTCAGAAACTTTCTCTACGATTTTTTTTACTTATTGTGAATCATCCAATCAAATTTCTGATTACGTCAAAATGATGACCTTGACAACGGCAGGTGCCCGAATTCTGATTGGTTCCTATCTAAGTTAGGTCAATGGGTCATAAACATGGCAGCTACCGGAATCTCCACAGAACACAATTCTGTCGCAAATTTATTTGAATCACTAAATTATGGTCCTGCTCCAGAGGCTGACAACGTAGCTAAGGTTTAGTTTTATGCACACTTTTTAAGTTTATTCCATTGCTGGTTAACCTAGTCTATACAGTCTAAAGTTTGAGTAGATTTTTGTATGCAGAGCTCTTTAGTGATAGAGATATTTTGTAATAACTAATAAGCTTATAAGTTATATTTTGTGAATACAAAAGTAGAACATTTGATAACTGCCACATGCCTGTGTAATGTCAATTGACCTTTGCTCTTAAGGACATGAAATATTTATTCATACTAAAAACAGATGAATGCAAAATGTCCAAAAGCATAGGAGTAAATTATTAAGTAATAATTTATAGTGTCACGATATATAATGTAAGACACTGGGTTAGTAGGCCAACAAATATAAAGTACAAAGTCATGTTGAGAGACAGTGGATATTTCTTATCCAATATAATAACGATCCTTAAAAACACCAGCCCCATTGATCTGAAATTAATAAATAAACAGTCCCAATAAGTATGGTTCCCAAGTTGAATACTTCAATACATAATGCATCTTAAATCAACTTTCAACATTTCCTGGGCTGTGGTAAAATGTACTTGCTATAAAAAGTAATATTTGTTTTTTATGGTTAGGCATGGTTAGAAGATCATGGAAGAGATTTTGGACATTTTATCGCTGGAAAATGGTATAAACCATCTGATGAAAGAAAAAAATATGAAACTAAATCACCATCTACAGGTAACTAGCCTACATGTATTTGATATATGCACATTGATTTTAGATTAAGTATTAATTTTTGCTATAAGTTTGGCTAATGTAAACAACAAATGCGATGCATGCATAAATGTAAAGATAAAAAATTTTTCCAGGACAGCATCATTAGTGCACTCTTTTCGGATTTCAACCCTCCAAAAGGCATACAAGCCTCAATTTATTTTCTTGACAAAATGCTTTTCCATGTCAGACCCTTGACAACTGACAGAGAATTACTGACTTGAAATACCCAAATTATCATCTCAATTAAACCAAATCAAGCCCCATTCTATGATGATAATGCAGACTAAAAAGTTGTCATTGGGGTTTCTGTATGTTTCTATCTTTTGTATTTTATATGATTTAGGTGAAGTACTGACTGCCACTATTCAGGGTAACAGTGAAGATGTAGATTTAGCTGTTAAAGCAGCTAGAAAAGCTTTTCAATCATGGAGCACCTTATCTCCTCATGTAAGAGCTCGACACCTTTATAGGTAAAATCATACATTTTTTGATGGAATTCAAGTATATCTTAATTTTATTACTGCAGGTCTAGCATTTTTTGAGAGTATTTTCTTTTGAGGAAGACTGGGGAGAGAGTAGCAGGGTAACAAAAAAGCATGAAATATACAAGGATTTATCGCATTTGAAAATTATCTAATGTTTTGAAGAGATGGAAGCTGGGATCACAGAGTTGCTTCATGCATTCTATTATCCTAGTCTTCATTTTGACATAATGTACAGAAAACCTGAAATTGAACTATGAATCCATGCACCCATGTTGCCATTTTAGTATTGCAAGACATGTACAGAAACATCAAAGGTTGGTGAGTGTAATAGAGTCTATGGATAATGGTAAACCAATACGTGAAACTAGAGATGCTGATATACCACTGGTGGTACGCCATTTTTATCATCATGCTGGGTGGGCTCAACTAATGGAAACTGAAATGAGAGGGTGGAAACCAATCGGTTAGTCATTGATTATTACCACAAATCCTAGTCTGTAAATTTCACAAATGATTTAAATATTTAAGTGAAAGTAGATTGTCTATCTAAAAAAAAAAACCTTGCTGGATCAGTAAGCTGATATGAGCATGAAATCATCTTAGGGTTGGGGCGATACACTACTATCACTTTAAGACTGTTGATAATCGTGTTGACAAAAACATAATCATATATTCATATTGCTGAGGCTTCTTCATTTACTAAATGATGAGTTAACAATATTGATGATGTTTTCATAACTCCATTCTTATTTTTGAAGAAAATTGACAATATGACTTCATGGTAACAGTGCATTGGCAATACAAATACTGTGGATATTAAATATAACTGTAAAGCACTTTTAATGGTATACCACTCTAGTAACCATGTATGTGATTTTTTTTTTACTCTTTGTTTTACTTAATATTTTTAGAAACAATATCACTAATTGTAGGTGTTGTGGGTGCTATTGTTCCTTGGAATTTTCCACTGATGTTGTTAACCTGGAAGATATGTCCAGCATTAGCTATGGGTAATACAGTGGTATTAAAACCAGCTACCTATACCAGACTAACAGCTCTATTATTAGCTGAAATCTGTAGTGAAGCTGGTTTACCACCAGGTGTATTTAATGTAGTTACTGGTAATGGAGCATTTGGAGGTCAACTTGCAGCTCATCCTGATGTTGATAAAGTTGCCTTTACTGGCTCTACAGAGGTTTGTATGAACTCATTGGTATATTATTATGGAGCTTTCATAAAACTTTGCAATGTCTACTTCTGTCTCAGTAGAGGTTAAAGTGGACCTTGGTTTGAGCTGTTCTTGTTAAGTAACTAAATCTCAACTGTTTGAATTATTAAAATTGATGTATTAAAATTTGTTATTAGGTAGGACAGGTATTAAGGAGATCAACAGCTGGTACTGGTAAAAAATTATCATTAGAATTAGGAGGTAAATCACCAGTAGTAGTATTTGATACAGCTGATTTAGATAGTACTGTAGAGGGTATTGTAGATGCTGTATGGTTTAATCAAGGCCAGGTTAGTAAATATATTTTACCTTTCATTGTGTAATATTCGATCAATTTTAAATAAATAAGATCACTATTATGGATATTCGTTACTTTATTGAACATTTTGTTTTTCATTTTTCAGTTCAAATTTATTGCTTTATTTCACAATTAAATGATGTTGAATTGGTAATTTAAAGTTAGGTAGGGATTCTAGATATTTAAGTAATTAAATGTATTTTAGGTGTGTAGTGCAGGATCAAGACTACTGGTTCATGAGTCTGTACAAGAGAAATTAGTCAACAAATTAAAAGAAAGATTAACACATTTCCGTGTAGGTGATAGTTTAGATAAAACTATTGATTTGGGAGCTATTGTTGATGAATCACAAAGAAAAACTATAGCTGATTATGTTGATAGTGCTAGACAGGAAGGTGCTGAGGTATGTCATATTGTTTTTTTATTATAGGCCCACATCTCTCTATGTTGACGTATATTGTCGGCACCCCTGTCCGTCGGTCAGTCGGTCCGTCAGTCCATCAGTCAACATTTGCTTGTAAACGCTCTAAAAACTAGAGTTTTTGATGGAATCAAATGAAATTCGGTATGTGTAGACATATTCATAAAATGAAGATCAAGTTCGAATTTGAGCTATTTTCGACTGTTAGAAGCAGAGTTATTGCCCTTGCCCCAAAATCTTGAATATGCTATTACTCTCTTAGTTTTCAACCGATTTTGATGAAACTTAAAATTGATGTTATTGGACCTAAATCGAAAGGTTTAAGAAAGTTTAGTTTACTTCTGATTAAATTTAAAGCTTTTTCAAGATTTAGGCCTCTTACGTCTGTTTTGAGGAGTTATCGCCCTTAAACCTCTATACAGTAAATGCTTCTATCAACATCAATTGCTTGTAAACGCTCTGAAAACTAGATTTTTTGATGGAATCAAATGAAATTCGGTATGTGTAGACATATTCATAAAACGAAGATCAAGTTCGAATTTGAGCTATTTTCGACCGTAAGAAGCAGATTTATTGCCCTTGCCGCAAGATCTTTAATATTTACCATCCGCATGCCACGGTGGGCGTATATGGCTGTGGTCCACTATCTTTTGATAATATTATTATGTCTGTTTTTTTTTTTGGTATACTTGTACTATGAAACTTATATGAATTGCTCCGTAGATGCAGTTTTTTGCCTCCTTCTTTAGTTTTGATAGCCCATGTATGTAATTTGTATAACTTTTTAATACACTTATAATTAAGATGTTTCTTCAGTGTCTTTTTTATTTCTTATTATTTGGTCTTATAAGCCAGTATTAGTATACCATGTACTTTCTATTATCAGGTTTATCAAGCCAGTATTAGTATACCATGTACTTTCTATTATCAGGTTTATCAAGCCAGTATTAGTATACCATGTACTTTCTATTATCAGGTTTATCAAGCTAGTATTAGTATACAATGTACTTTCTATTATCAGGTTTATCAAGCTAGTATTAGTATACAATGTACTTTCTATTATCAGGTTTATCAAGCTAATAATAGTATACCATGTACTTTCTATTATCAGGTTTATCAAGCTAGTATTAGTATACCATGTACTTTCTATTATCAGGTTTATCAAGCCAGTATTAGTATACCATGTACTTTCTATTATCAGGTTTATCGAGCTAGTATTAGTATACAATGTACTTTCTATTATCAGGTTTATCAAGCTAATAATAGTATACCATGTACTTTCTATTATCAGGTTTATCAAGCTAGTATTAGTATACCATGTACTTTCTATTATCAGGTTTATCAAGCCAGTATTAGTATACCATGTACTTTCTACTATCAGGTTTATCAAGCTAGTATTAGTATACCATGTACTTTCTATTATCAGGTTTATCAAGCCAGTATTAGTATACCATGTACTTTCTATTATCAGGTTTATCAAGCCAGTATAAGTATACCATGTACTTTCTATTATCAGGATTATCAAGTTAGTATTAGTATATCATGTACTTTCTATTATCAGGTTTATCAAGCTAGTATTAGTATACCATGTACTTTCTATTATCAGGTTTATCAAGCCAGTATTAGTATACCATGTACTTTCTATTTTCAGGTTTATCAAGCTAGTATTAGTATACCATGTACTTTCTATTATCAGGTTTATCAAGCCAGTATTAGTATACCATGTACTTTCTATTATCAGGTTTATCAAGCCAGTATTAGTATACAATGTACTTTCTATTATCAGGTTTATCAAGCCAGTACTAGTATACCATGTACTTTCTATTATCAGGTTTATCAAGCTAATATTAGTATACCATTTACTTTCTATTATCAGGTTTATCAAGCAAGTATTAGTATACCATGTACTTTCTATTATCAGGT